ACTGGCTGCTCTTCTGGAGCTTACCTTTTCCCCAAATTCAGTCTTCCTCACCTGCCCAACAATGGCTCAATCTAAATCCTGTGACAGAAGCGCGCTGTAAAACTAAACCTAACCCTAAACGTAACGCTAAACATAACCCTAACCCTAACCCTAAACATAACGCTAAACCAAACCCTAAACCTAACCCTAAATCTAACCCTAACCCTAACTCTAACCCTAACCCTAACCCTAACCCTTACCTTAACTTAAATCGCCCCTCTGTCGACTGAAATCCCTCTTCTGTCTCCGCGCTGTTGTCGCCGCGCTGTTGTCGGCGCATTGATGACGTTGCAGTTTTAGCGACGCAGTTTAATCGGGCGCGGTTTTGTCGTTCGCCCTTTTGTCGGGTCACGACGACTAGGCATATCTGAAATTACTTCCTGGCACATGGGTCATGTGAAAATGAAGTGCCACCAGGAGAGAAACTATGAGTTTATGGTTGAACTTAGGAATCCTTGCTGCTCTCTGAGCTTGGTTGTCTACTAGGAGACATTTCATTGCCCAACTGTGGAACATCATCAGTTTGAGTTGGGGGTAGGGTCAATATTTTGTAAAAGGTAGATAGTTCTGTCACAGGATTTAGATTGAGCCATTGTTGGGCAGGTGAGGAAGACTGAATTTGGGGAAAAGGTAAGCTCCAGAAGAGCAGCCAGTGGTCTTCTAGTACACTTCTGCCTGAGACTTTTATTTACATCTAAGAAATACTAGTATAAATTGATACATCGGATAATTTGAATAGTTTTTGCAGATGCAAGATATCCTTGGGTGCTGAAAATAAATAGATAAAATAAGAGAGCCATTCCAGAATATAATCCTTTGAGACCATGCCTTGAAAAGATGACACGGAGAGCCTACACAGGTCAACCCCAATGGTCATTCTGACATCCCCCCATCTTCCCCTATTTTTCTGCTCTATTAATGATGAAAATCAACCTGTAATTCTTCTTTGTGAAGGAAATTTGCATTTGATTGTAACTGCTGTCTGTAGACCAAAAGCTACTTCGACATGAGTTGGACTCCCGTTGCCAACATCTCAAGTTTCAATCCCAGTCAAACCTCGATAGATGATGAAAAAAATAACTATTCAGGAGGGCATTTTTCAACCTCTTCATCCCAAAAAAGCTTGATTCTTTTTTTACATTTGCAAACTGTGTGCCAGGAACCCTTTTTCTACTTGGAGATTAGATGATTTCCACAGTCAATGCCAATAAAGCAGATTTTAAGAAGCATCCGCGTTGATGGCTAGATATTGGTGGCTTGTCTTAGAGAGCCAAATAAAGTTGTGTGGGTTTTAAAGAAAATAGGATAATTCGTACATTTATTCAAGCCGTCCCTGCCATTTTAAGGGAGTGGTTTGGAAAAGATAGCCAACCGAAGTAGGATTTTCCTAAAAACTAGCAAGACCCTCTTGCTATAAGGTAGATCCATCCACTCTCATCGTTGAGTGCTTTCCATGATCTTCAGAAGCGTCAACCGGTAGCCAAACTCCCGGCTCATCCTGAAAAGAAAGCAACGTAGTTTGTGTTCTAGTTTGCTCATGTTTCCAAGCTAGCTGGGATAGTGAAAGCAGTCCAAGTTAGGGGAATGCAGCCCTAGAGTTCAATTCTTACGTTGTTTTAATTTTAAGTCCACCCTGCAAATGTGCACGCTGGAGGCTGGCATGCGTTCCGTTGTGTGACAAGACCTCGTTTCCAGCATCTTCCAAACCTTTTCCCTTGCCTGTCTCTGCCTGTTTGTCTCCCCTTCCATTTGGACGTCCACCTTGACAGTGAGCATCGGAGCATCGCAGCTTCCCTTGATGTGAGCACTGGCTTGCATTAGGTCCTGTGCTGGTCCTTGTCTTGGAGAAGAAGCCATGTTGTAGCCACCCCTCTTCCCTTTCACCGCTAAATGGAAGCTTGGGAAGAAATGCACTAAAAAACCATTTCATGCGCGCACACACACACACACACTTTTTGGAGAGGAGAGGAACAGCACAACATCTGGGCCATTTGTATCTCTGTAGGATATAATATATCCAGTTTGTCCTTGAGAGTTGTTCCTGGTGCAATGAGGATTTCCTGGTTGAAAGTTCGGACATATTGTAAATATATAAAATGGGAGTCTGTCAGGGAATTAGGGTTTAGGGTTAGGGTTTATTAAACTTCTATGCCGCCTTATTCCCAGGGGGACTCAGGGCGGCTAACAAACCAAGGGGAAGGGAACAATACAAGAACAAACAAAACGAGAAACAAATTACAAAGAACAGATTTTAAAAAACTCACAACAGTCACAACAATTCGAGTGGGGCTGGGAACTCATCAGCCCCAGGCCTGCCGGAACAGCCCGATCTTGAC